ATCATGAGTTCAAGAGTCTTATATGGATTAGGTTCCAGGCGACAGCTGCCCAGTATTCTGTCCTGTGTGAATGCGCGTACGCGAACACCTGCTGTGGCAACCGCTGTTGCGGTTTGCCTGATGCTGACCTTTGCGCTGATTAGCAACCTTGCGTTTCTTGCTCAACTCACCTCAACCATCATTCTGATTCTCTTTACACTGGTCAATACTGCTCTGGTGAGAATCAAACTGCGGGAAGCGCTTGTTGAAGATGTCCTTAACCTGCCCATCTGGCTGCCTGTTTGTGGTGCGATAGCGAGCGGGGGTGTTGTCCTTGCGCAATTCTATAGCCTGCTGTTTTCGGCCTAGTTGAAATGGTCATGGGTACTTACACGAGAATGGCAGCGCCTGACGCTTCATTGATTTCAGCCTGCGTCGCCAGGAGAATTCAGAGGTATGGTCATGACATCCGTATCGACACGGCTGAGGATGTTTTCCGCGGTGTTACCAATCAGGTAGCCTGCCAGCCCGGTTCGCGCTTTTGTGCCCATCACCAGCATGCATGCTTTAGTGGATTTCACCAGCTTTTCTATGACAGTACCGGTGGCGCCTTCGCTGGTATGGACGTTGTATTCATCGATATGTAGTGCCTGGCATAAGGCATTGATAGCCGCTCGGCTTTCATCAGCCATTTCGTCCCTGAGGCGCTCATAGTTTTTTACCGTGGCTACCTCGTTTATCCATACACTGAGCGAGGGATAGACGCAGACAATGTGCAGGGTGCCGCCGATCGCTCGGGCTAATGTGCTGGCATGCTCCAGCACATTACGATTCAGGTCCGCGTGAGCATCATCAAATACGTCCACTGCTGCAAGAATTGTAGGATTTACTGGCCAGGCTCTGGCGCGGGTCAGTAGCACGGGTACCTTTGCATGACGAATAAGGTTCCAGTCTTCTGCAGTGTGAGGATACAGTGCGCCGTTGTTTTCGCCGCGAGGTTTGAAAATCAAATCTGCCTGCTCTGCGTCCGCGGCGTGCAGAATCCCTTCCCAGATATGTTTATGCCAGATCGTGGCACTTTCAATTTTAAAATCTGCCAGACCAGCCTGTTGCACAGCATCTTCAAGCAGGGGTTCTTCTGCTTCCAGAACAAATGTTTTAAGTTCAATGGAACCATCTATGTATTTGCTTTTGAGATCTGCCAGACCTTCGTAAACGACCCTGACTACCTGGAAGTGAGCATCGGCTGAGTCCGATTTACACAAAGCGGTCGCTTTGCTTAAAACAGGCCCTGCGTCTTCAAGATTCTGCAAGGCGACTAAAATGTTTTTATACATTGATCAAGCTAACGTAAGTTATTAGTCAGAAAAGATTAGATGAATATGCTGAATTTCGGCTATTGGGAAATTCCCGTAAGCGCATGCGGTGAATCGCGAAAAGCGCAGCAGTCCTGGTAGAAAATAAGCCAGGCCTGTGCCAGGGGCTCACGCAGTTTATCCGCCCGCCGCTGTTGTTTCTGATAGAACTTGTTAAGGGAGGAGTTTTTTGTGCCTGATTTATCCGCGGGGAATTTCCGAATCATCGCTCGGGCCAGTTCGGTGTCCTGATAGTCACCTAGAAGAGACTGCAGCTTTTTGGCTGCCTCAGTCAGCCGGTCAATGTCCGCATTAACACCGGCGAAAGTGTCCAGCTGATAACGCAGTTTCTTCAACGCGATACGTACGGTATGAATGTCGTCCGCATGGGAGAACTTGTGGAGTCGGATGCCCGTATCAAGCATGTCTGCAATCGCGGTGGGTAGAACGTGAGCGAGGTGTTCTCTTACGCTGTGGGTCTCAGCGTCGCGGCAGCTGTGGATCTGTTGTATGACTTTGAGCAGATGGCTATGCAGAGCGTAGAAGTCTTCTGTAAGGGTTTGCTGCAACTGGCGCTGGCGCTTTGCCTGTTGCCTGCATAGGAATTTCTTATACGCCCGACATTTCCCTCGAGAAAAAATTGACGCCAATTGAGCGTGATGAACGTCGAGGTCGCGTACTTTGCCCAACGCCCTGGTAAGACGCTTCAGTTCAGGCTGCAAAACAGTATCACCTGATGGGGGCATGACATCACTGAATAAATCCAACGCTGCGCGGGTTCTGCGTGTGGCAATCCGCAGTTGGTGCACGCCTTCGGGGTGTACCGCTTCAAATGCAAACGGTTCGTGGGCAAGCAGCGTATCAGCACATTCCTGAAGCGTTATCGCCGCATGTTTGCGCCAATGTCGTTCTGCGGTTTCAATCACCGATTTCAGCTGCAATGAGGGTTGTCTGTCTGGACACGGTGCGTACACGCCGCGTTGCAGTTTGGCCATTCTGGAAGGGTGCAGGTACTTTTCCGCGCGCGCGATTAAATTGATATGATGCAGCAGGGTTTCATGTCCCTCCAGGAGTTCGAATTCAAATTCAATATAACCGTTTGTAAGCTGGGCACTGCTGACCGTATCTACAGCCCACTCAATGTATGTCTTTTTGTCGCTTGGGTGGGTGAGCTCAAACAGTCTGCGTTGGCTGTGCTGTTGATGGACAGGTTCAAGATCAGCTGCCGCAATACCCAGCGACTGCAGCTGGTTGCTGACGCGACTTTCCTGGGGGATGCTGATGTCCGATTCGGTTTCTGCGCATTTGTCGTTGTAGGTATATTCCGTTTCTCTGCGTTTGAACGTAGCTGCTGTTGCCGGGCTGGATTTTAACGTCAGGGTTGTCTGGCCGGAGGTGTTACTCCGTCGCAGTGACCAACCGACCTGTTCGAGGTCGCGGTTGCCTGTATCAAAATAGACGTCGTCCATGCTCTGCTGGCCTTGTTTATCTAACGAGAAGCCAAAATCCTTCAGTTTCCGGTAAAGTTTTTTTTGCGCAGGCTTACCGCCCATGCCGTAGCGGACAAGGAACTTCAATTCCAATTCGGTTTTTGTTGAGCCAAGGTCATGCATGGCCATGATCATGGCGACTGTTGGCGTGAAAATCCAATGGGGGAAGTGCGTACTTTCCTGTTTTTAATAGTAGAACTACGGATAGCCAAGCTGACCGGTTGATTCGATCATCCAGTTTTATCGGTAGGGTACGTGGCCATGGGTGACGCAAAGCAAGCGCTGAAAGAATATGTTCAGAAACTCAAAACAGAGCGTGATGAGTTACGCCTGAAACTGAAACTTTCGAATATGGAATTTCGTGATCATTGGGATAATGCTGAGGTCAAATGGAACCACCTGGAGCAGAAGATGCAGGATTTAACCCATGAATCCGCGGAATCGTCTCGAGCGGTTGCACATGAACTCGCAGAAATGTATCGGAATATGCGAAACATCATTAACCGATAGTTTTTTGTTCAACTTGTTTGCAGGGTGCACACCCGGCAGGTCGGCAATAGCTAGACAGTCGCTATCACTTAGATAGGCAATACAATAGTGCGCTGGATCAGGTGGCGAAGTTCTTCCAGTTCATGTGCTACGGGTTTCAGGGCTTCGGCGTGGATGGGGATATCTTCGCCGCACTTGCAGATGAACCCGATACCACTATCGACGTCCGTGATCGGAAGGCCCTGTTGCTTACCGCACGTTGGGCATTGTAACGCCAGGGTGATGCAACCCTGGAGATTGCAGTGGAAGTGTACTTTTACAGGATTTTCCATCCAGACCTCTAAGACGCCGATAATTTATGCATCTTGAAGTAGGTTGCTCTATGAAGTGAATCCGTAACTTCCCGTAGCAACAAATTTCCTTTTTTATTAAGTGTATTACTCATTTACCGAGGCCACTTTGCGTGCTAGAAAGCGCTACCAATTAATCACTTAAGTTATGAACGAATTAACAGACGAAGTCCTTGTTGCACTGCGGCGAATTATCCGCGCAACAGATCTGCATTCTCGCCGCTTAGGTAGAGATACCGGGCTGACCACGCCACAGTTGGTCGTGATGAATGCGATCGAAAAATATGGTGACCAGTCCATTTCAGAAATTGGTCGCCAGGTCAGTCTATCCCAGGCAACAGTTACAAATATCCTTAACCGGCTTGAGACTAATGGTCTGATTACCCGCAAGCGCAGCAAGCATGACAAGCGTCGAGTGGACGTTTTTCTGACTACCAAAGGGGCGCGTCTGCGTGCCGGAGCTCCGCAACCGCTGCAGGAAGAGTTTGTCCAGCGCTTCAGTGAGCTTGCAGGTTGGGAGCAACATCAGATCGTTGCAGCGTTAATGCGTGTCGCCACCATGATGGACGCAGAAACCCTGGATGCAGCGCCCATGTTGGCAACTGGAGAGCATGTATTGTGAAGTTCGAGCTCTTGGGTTTAGAGCAGCACCCTGCGTCTGAATGAGCTTATCAGCGGGATTGCCTGACGGCTGACAGATCAGCTCTGGCTCGCCAAAATATAGTGTTGCATGTGATCCTGTGCTTCAGATTGGCAGGCAAACGGTCCTTGTAATCCTTCCCGGGCGCGGAAGTACCAGCCGTCTTTCTGTTGTGTAATTCGTTTGCCGGTGTTGTCTTCATTGAGGCCATCCAGGTCGATATGAGCATTGCTGCTGAGACGCGATGCGACCTCCGCTACAGGCATATCGAAAACACGATGTTTGCCGTTTGCGCGACAGCTGACCCGTGCAGTCTGGGTCTGGGTGTTCACTTCGATAACGAGATAAAGGCGTCCCTCAAGAGCGAACAGGCGTCCTTCCATGCGACTGGCGAGCGGTGTGTCATTAAGCTGCATGTTTTGACCCTCCTTAAGTTTCCCTACTTTGGCTGTCTTCTAGGTTAAGACGCTGTTCACTTCTATTCTGCCAACGCGTTCACAAAACGCGGATAAAGGTTGGACATGGAATGATCAGTTTAGCCCGAGCAATCAACGAGCCTTTGTCGACTTTTTTCGATGCTTTGTTGTGCCTAATCTGTGCCGCATTAAAACAGAGCGGGTTAAGCCGGATGTCTATTGCGCCAAATCAACAGTTGCCACACCAGACCGGCTTGGTGGTAACCACAGAGGCCAGCAAAATGAGTCCACAGGTGGAAAAAGAAGTACTACAACAGGTCAGTGTAGCGCCGGGCGATGGCGTCGGCCCGGAAATAACCCAGGCGACGCTTCGTATCCTGAGTGCGGCTAAGGTGCCGCTGCAGTTCAACACCATAGATATGGGACTAAAAGTCTGGGAGCAGGGTTTAACCTCTGGCGTAACCGAAGCCAGTTGGCAGTCGATTCGCGACAGTGGTGTGTTACTGAAAGGACCAATGACAACGCCTCAGGGTTCGGGCATGAAGTCTCTCAATGTCACCCTGCGGAAAAGTCTGGGTCTGTTTGCCAACGTTCGTCCGGTTCGCTCTTATACCCCCTATGTGGCTTCCCACCATCCGGACGTTGATCTGGTCATTATCAGGGAAAATGAAGAAGACCTTTATGCCGGTATAGAGCATCGTCAGACCCAGGATGTGGTTCAGTGTTTGAAGCTGGTCTCGCGGCCGGGGTGTGAACGTATTGTGCGTTATGCCTTCGAGTTTGTGATGACTCGCAAACGCAAGCGCCTGACCTGTATGACCAAAGACAACATCATGAAACTGACGGATGGCCTGTTCCACGAAGTCTTTGATGAGGTGGCGAAAGAATACCCGGAGGTGCAGGCGGATCACATGATTGTCGATATCGGTATGGCGCGGGTCGCCAGTGATCCAGCATCATTTGACGTCATTGTTACACCTAACCTCTACGGCGATATCCTCTCCGATATTGCCGCAGAGGTGGCGGGTTCCGTAGGCATGGCGCCGTCGGCCAACATTGGAGAGTCGATCAGTATCTTTGAGGCGATACACGGTTCAGCGCCGGATATTGCCGGGCAGAATATTGCCAATCCCTCAGGTCTGCTGATTTCTGCGGTGAAGATGTTGGCACACCTTGGGCTGGGTGATTATGCAGAGCTTATTCACAATGCGTGGCTGTGCACTATCGAAGAGGGTATTCACACAAAAGATGTTTATCAGGGAGGTAAAGGTTATCAGTGTGTCGGCACTGACGAGTTTGCTTCGGCGGTGATTGAACGTCTGGGTAAGACGTCAAAAACTCTCGGGCAGGCGCATTATCCGCGCAAACGCCTTGATGTGACGCCGGCTAAACATTCCCATCAACCCGTGCAGGAATTGGTCGGGGTCGATGTGTTTGTGCAGGCTCAACTGAAGCCACAGACATTGGCCGATCAGATTAAGGCTGTGGACGTTACTCCGCTTGAACTTACGATGATCACTAATCGTGGTGTGCAGGTATGGCCCAACGGTGCACCGGAAACCTATTGTACAGACCACTGGCGTTGCCGTTTTAAGGCCGACGCTGATCATGTTGGTGAGTTAGATAATCGCCAGGTGTTGACGCTGCTCAATCGATTAGATCTTGCGGGGGTTGATTTTGTGAAAACCGAACACCTGTACAATTTTGATGGGCAGCCTGGGTTTTCGATGGGGCAGGGACAGTAGAGACCAACAAAAAAGGGCACGTAAAACGTGCCCTTATCAGTGCGAAGCTTGATAGCCTCAACAAGTTGTTACCACTCAAAACCTGCACGCAGGTACGCAAAACGTCCGGCAAAGCCGAAAGGTGAGCGTGTGGAGTAAGGGAAGATGCCGTTGAAGCTCTGGCCAGCAGGCGTTTCAGTTGGATATTGATCAAACACGTTATCCACACCAATGCCGATATTGATGTTGTCTGTTGCGGCCAGGTTCATAGACAGATCAACAATCCATTCTGCATCCAAAGTGAAGTCGTTTGCTGGGTTGTTAGACGGATCGACAACTTCGCCGTAACGTGTTGCACGGACGTTCACATCAGCTGCTTTATAGCGCCAGTCCATGGTTAAGATGATCTTGTCCTGAGGAGCGCTTTCTTCAAAGGTCAATCGATTGTCCCTGGAGAAAAGTGTCAAAGATGGAATAACCGTGTTAACAGGCACTTTTTCAACTTCGACATCAGAGAAATTCATACCGGCGCTGAATTCAAAAGATCCCATATCGTTGGTTTCAAGATCAAAGCGGGCAACAATGTCGATACCCGTAGTTTTGGTTTCGATACCGTTCTGGAAGAAGCGCACGCGGCTTACACCGGTAACACCGGCAGCAGTGAGCACATCTTCTACTTCTGTACCGCCCAGATTTTCCGTTAGAAAAATCTGGTCTTCGATTTCGATCTGATAAAAATCGACGGTGAGGTAGAAGTTGGTCGCTGTACGCCAGACAAAGCCTGCTGAAATACTGTCAGAAGTTTCCGCGTCCAGCGACTGACCACCTAAAGCGACTGCAGCTGCAGATTCTGCCGGGAAGGTGCCAATTTCAAAAGGCACGCCGTCAATAAAGTTGGTTGAGCTGGCGGTAAAAAACTGCTGCTGCAGAGACGGTGCTCTGAAGCCAGTTGAATAGCCACCGCGAATGGCAAAGCTTTCGGTGATGTCATAGCGAGCGACAAACTTACCAGTTGTCTCGTCGCCGAAGTCTGAATAGTCTTCATACCGAATGGCGGCGCCGAATAGCAGCTGATCGTTGGGTGTCCACTCAACGTCAACATACAGAGACACCGAATCGCGATCTTCGTCTACTTCTGATTGTGGCGTGAAGCCTGCAAATACCTGGCTGCCACCTGCAAAAGCGACACCGTCTGCTTCAGGATCCTGGGCTGCAGTGAAGTTCACACCCAGCAGGCCGCGATAGCCGCCCTGAATGTAAGAGTTGGGTTCACCAGCAGAAATTTCGAAGTTTTCTTCACGGAACTCGGTACCAAAAGACAAGGTGACAAGCCCGGGTAGCAGGTTGTCAAAATCTCTTGTGACGTCGGCATTGACAACAATCTGCTGATATTCAAGTGCACCGGCGTCAAATTTGGTTTGCGTAACAGCCGGTCCTAATGACGCGTTCAAGCTGTCTTCAACGGAATATTCCAGCTCATTGTTGCCAAAGGTGACGCTGGCATCGTAATCCCATTCTCCGAAGTTGCCGCGGATACCACCAGCCAGGCTGATGTCTGTTACCTCACCAATAATGGTGGGCAGAAATCCATTGGGATAAATCTCCGTCAGGTTTCGTGGTGAACTGCGGAAGTCCACGGTTGCATCCCCCGCGCGGCGGTAGAAACCGGGAGAATCAGCTTCACGGTCCTGATAGCCACCAAAGGCGTAGAGTTCAGCGGTTTCGCTGATCGGTAAACCGGCATTAGCAAAGAAGCTGAAATCTTCAGCGTTGCCGTTGCCGTAACGGTGGTTCAGACGGTTGAAGCTGTTGTTGCGTGGATCCTGAATGCCCGAACTCAGAGGGGTTTCAGGGTACTGGTTACGCGGATCGAGGCCGGCGCGGTTGCTCGGTTCACGATCTTTATACTCCGCGGCAAGGGTCAGATAGCCTTCTTCACCTAGCGGCAGACCTTTCCACCCCGATACTTTCAGAGTCTCGCCATCGCTGGCGTTGCGGTCGGCGGCGTTGATTTCAGTTGAGTACTGGCCGAAAAACCCGTCAATTCCGCCACCTTCACGATCCTGCTTCAGGCGCACGTTGAGTACACCGGCGATGGCATCGGAACCGTATTGGGCAGATGCGCCATCGCGTAACACCTCAACCGCACTGATGGCGCTGATGGGAATTGCATTCATGTCTACCGCAGCAGAGCCACGACCGACAGAGCCATTGATGTTTACCAGCGATGAGCTGTGGCGGCGTTTACCGTTTAACAGAACCAGCGTCTGGTCCGGCTGCAGGCCACGCAAGGTAGCGGGGCGCACAATATCTGTACCGTCGTTGATAGACGTCTGGTTGAAGTTAAAAGAAGGCACTGCCGCTGCGAGCGCCTGGTTCAGCTCCAGGCGACCGGTACTGGTAAGTTGTTCGGCGTTAAAAACATCGATAGGCACAGCAGTCTCAAGGTTCGTGCGTCCTTCGCGGGAGCGCGAACCAATCACAACTACTTCTTCTATGGGGCGCAATCCAGCATCCTGCGCGATGCCGGGCAGTGCCCCGGTGGTGGCCGTCATGGCCAAGATCATACTTAGCGTCTTGCGCATAGTTTTGTCTCTCTTTCTTTTGTGTGTGTGTGCAACTGTCCGGCCCCCAACAAGCCGAAACTTTCCAGGCGTTGCACGTCTGCGAACGCGCGCAAGGTAACATTTGTGAAACATATCGACAAATTTTGTAATAACACGTTTTTTGCACATTTTCTGGCTGGATAATGCAGAGCGACGTTTGATCGGTGTTATTATTAGCGGTTTGCTATTTGACACTTAAGAAAGAGGCATAAGCATCATGACAGACACCGATCTGGCGCAATTTCGCGAATCAACACGGGCATGGCTTGCGGATAATTTTCCGGCATCCCTGGCTAATAAAATGCTCGGCTACGAGCGTATTTCCGATCCGGAAATGGCGCAGCAGTTAGAAGTCTGGCGACAGAAACTGGCTGAACAGGGTTGGGGCGCACCAACCTGGCCAAAAGAATATGGTGGTGCGGCATTAAGCCAGCCTGAAGCCCGTGTCATCGCTCAGGAAATGGGCAAGATTGGCGCAATGAACCCGATTCCATTGCTGGCGGGTATGGGCGTGACCATGGTCGGCCCGACGGTGCTTGAATACGGTACGGATGAGCAGAAGCAGAAGCACCTGCCTGGTATTGCCAGCGGCGAAGTGCGCTGGTGCCTTGGTCTTTCTGAACCAAATGCAGGGTCGGATCTGGCTTCGCTGGCTACCAAGGCGGTTGATGAAGGGGACTATTTTGTTTTGAACGGCCAGAAAATCTGGACTTCCGGTGCGGATATTTCTCAGTGGTGTGGTGCCCTTGTGCGGACTGATTCGAATGCTAAAAAGCGTGACGGTATCAGTTTTGTCATGCTGCCTATGGATCAGGAGGGTGTGCAGACCAAGCCGATCCGTCTGATTGCAGGTGCCTCTCCTTTCTGCGAAACGTTTTTCACTGACGCCCGTGCGGAAAAAGCGGACCTTCTGGGTGACCTGAACGATGGCTGGAGTGTGGTCAAACGTTTGCTGCAACATGAGCGCCAAAGCCAGACCAGCGCTCGCGGCGCGCCCACCAATAAAGCAGATTCGTTGCAGGAAGTGGCTAAAAAGTATGTCGGCACGGATGGTGAAGGCCGCCTGGCAGATGCTGATCTGCGTACTCGCATAGCCAATCATCTGATGGACGCTCAGGCACATGGTTTGACCGTTGCCCGCATAACTGCCGAAGCTCGGGGTAACCCCAAGGTGAGTGCCGCGGCTTCTATCCTGAAAAACTCAGCGACCAAGGTTGCGCAGACAAAATCTGAGCTGACTATGGAACTTATGGGTAACCAGGGTATTGGTTGGGAAGGGGATCACTTTACCGCGGATGAGTTAAACAACGTGCGCGATTGGTTATCCGGCAAAGCCATATCCATCTACGGCGGCTCCTACGAAGTGCAGAACAATATCATTTCCAAAAACATTCTCGGTCTACCCGAAACCACACAGAAGGGTTAAACACATGGCAGCATTAACAGAAGAGCAGAGCATGCTCCGAGACCAGGCGAAATCCTGGGTGACAGAACAGTCTCCGGTCCTCAAATTCAGACAGATGCGCGACAGCGGTGTCGAACTGAAGTACACCCCGACAACCTGGAACGCGATGGTTGAAATGGGTTGGACCGGTATTCTGGTGCCAGAAGAATTTGGCGGGTCTGACCTTGGTTACCTGACTTTTGGCGTTGTTCTTGAAGAGCTGGGGCGACAACTGACCGCTTCGCCGCTCTTTGCCTCAGCCCTTGTTGGCACTTCAGCCATTCTGCTGGCGGGCAACGACAAGCAGAAGCAGGCATTGTTACCCAAGGTGGTTGATGGCAGCGAGATTTTAACCCTCGCAGTTGATGAAACCGCCCGACATGCGCCAGCTCAGATAGCGCTGCAGGCTACCGCCTCTGATGGCGGGTTCAAGCTGCAGGGAGAAAAAACTTTTGTCATGGAAGGCATGGCGGCAACCACTTTTATTGTCGCGGCACGTACGTCAGGCACTGCCGGTAATGAAGCGGGCATAACCCTCTTCTGCGTCGCTGCGGATGCTGCTGGTTTAACGCGTGCACCTATCCATACCGTCGACAGTCGTGGGCACGCTCATCTAAAATTTGACGATGTGTTTGTCTCAGCGGACAGTGTGCTGGGGCAGGTAGATGCAGGTTACGCAGATCTGCAGGCAGTACTTGACCGGGCCAGCGCTGGTCTTGCCGCGGAAATGTTAGGCACGGCAGCTCAAGCGTTTGATATGACGCTGGAATACTTGAAAACACGTGAACAGTTCGGCCGCGTTATCGGCTCGTTCCAGGCATTGGGTCATCGTGCTGCTGAGTTGTACACGGCTATGGAACTGGCCCGTTCCTGTGCCGAGCATGCACTCCAGGCCATTGATAGCCATGCAGACAACCTTGCCGAGGTGTGTTCCCTGTCGAAATGTCGAGTGGGTGAGTTTCTTCACGTCATGTCTAACCAGCTGATTCAGATTCATGGCGGTATCGGCATGACAGATGAGTTCGACGCAGGTTTCTATCTGAAGCGGGCGCGAGTGTTGGAAACCGCCTTTGGGAATCAGGCTTATCATCGCGATCGTTACGCCAAAGCGCTGGGTTTTTAACCCAGCGCCATAGGTGCCCTGCCAGTTACGCCAGCTACCATCGGATAAAAAGAAAAATAAAAAATGTCTGACATGATCAACCCAGAACATAGTGAGAAGATATACATCAAGTCTGACGAATTACTGCGTGATTCGTTTGCCCTGGCGCTCAAAGTTATAGAGTCCGGTTTTCGGCCGGATTTCATTGTGGCTGTCTGGCGAGGTGGAACGCCTGTCGGCATAGCTGTCCAGGAATTGATGAAATATGCCGGTGTTGAAACGGACCATATTGCAATTCGAACGTCCTACTACCAGGGTATTGATAAAACTGACAATCAGGTTCAGGTGCACAATTTAGGTTATCTGTTGGAGCATCTGAACTACGACAATTCTGTTCTGATTGTAGATGATGTATTTGATCGCGGGCGCAGTATTGAAGCAATAATCTCAGAACTGGAGCGTTTGACCCGACGCAACCTGCCAAAAGATATCCGCATTGCTACGGTGTGGTTTAAGCCTGAGAAAAATGTCACAGCTTTGAGTCCGGACTATTATGTTCATGAAACCAACCGTTGGCTGGTTTTTCCGCACGAGTTGGATGGGCTGACCGACGAGGAAGTGCGTAGCGGCAAGCCGCTGGTTGCGGAACTGGTGTTTGCAGCAACCGAAGCTGCTGGTAAGGCGGATGGCTGATGGCCAGTGAAGTTACCCTGCTTCTCGAACGATACAAGCAGGGTGATACGGGTGCATTTAATGCGCTTGCGGAGCTGATTTACCCACAGCTGAAATCGATGGCCCAGCGTCGGACGCGCGGTGAAGGTGGCCTCGGCGCAACAATGCTGGTCAATGAAACCTTCCTCAAGCTGCTCTCCGGCGGCGAACTGAAATTCGAAGATCGACAGCAGTTTTTTGCGCTTGCCGCATCCATCATGCGCCAGGTCATTGTTGATGAAGTACGTTATGTCACCGCACAAAAACGCAGTGGCAGTGAACACACCTTCACGGATGCAAAAATTGCTGATCCTGCTCATGAGGAGGCTGAGTTTCTGCTGCAGGTAGATCAGCTTCTGGAACATCTGGAACGTGACGATGAGCAATTGGCACGTGTCTTCGAATGTCGTTATTTTGCGGGTTTCACCACTGCGGAAACCTCGGAAGCACTGGGTATTTCCACTCGCTCAGTAGAGCGCATGTGGGCATCCGCTCGAGAACGCATTGCTGCACTCATGCAGGACAGCACCCGGTAAATCTTGTGGTTAGTGCGTTTATAACGGTCATTATCTGTGGTGTTGCGATAAACCACCAGGCCCGCACCGGGCATTAGCCGCTCGATGATTGATTGACGATGATGGTTATTCATTTGCTCGTTCATCTCTATAAGGTCCATTGCCAGGTAATCGACACCTGATCTCGCGCTGCGAATTGACCGAAATTTCCTTTCCGCGTGCCTGAAAAGTTGTCAAACGCCAGGCGTACAATCGTGTCGTCATTCAACTGATATTCAAACCGATTTGAAATCATGGAATCATTGTCTTCTAAGGAAGTGTAGAAACGCAGCTCATATTTCAGCGTGTCGTAGGCGAATGTTCTGCGTACGAATGTGGTGAGGATCTGTTCCGTATCTGGCCGCGTCAGTGTTTCAGGGGCGTTTATGACATGGTCATACAGATACTGGACGTTGATGAATGTTTCGAACGGACCATTTATATCGAAACCAACAGCTGCCCGCCACTGATCCAGTTTTTTGTGCGTAAAAGTTGTTGGTGTGCGGATGTTAAACGTCCGATCATCAATGTATGACGCTTCCAGTCGCAGAACAGCCTGAGAAACAGACGTTTGAGCCGCGAAACCGTAGACTTCCCGGCGGGCGTTGCTTAATACCAGGAAGGGTGTGCCGCCAGGTAAAACGGGAACACCAGCTTCAACAGGTGTTTGTGCATAGGGTTCAAAATCCAGCCCAGACACTGCTACCAGTTGCAGATCGACCCCACCAACGTAGCGTGAGAATCTTATGCCAATTGTACCTTCCTGGTCGTCCGGTCCTGTTGCAACAGTGTCAATGCTGTTGCTGGAGTCCTGGTTGCCAAACTGAAAGCGTGGCGCAGTAAGCGCAAAGCGGGCGTCGGCTGGTGGTATAAAATGCACCGAGGTGTCTGGGATGATGGCGAGTTCGCTACGCCAACCTGCAATGGTTGTGTCCACATAGATGCTCCACAGACCAATGCGCGATGATCCGAAGTCCTCAAGAATAAACTCCTCAAAACTCTGCGGGTTGAGAACATCCAGTACTTTGATGCCATCAAGGGCACCCCAGACAATCTGTTGTTTGCCAAGCCGCAGCTGGCTGCTACCCAGACCCAGTTCCAGATAGGCATCACGAAGTTCGAAAATCCAATACTTGTCAGTGGCGTAGGGTCTGGAAGCACTTGAATAGCTGTGAAAATCCGGCTCGCCGGGTAGAAACTGATCCTGGGCGTCGCCGCGAATACGCCCGGACAATACCCAGGTTTTGTCTCGGCTTTGAGACCACTCGACATATGGCTCAAGCTTAAGCTGTGAACCTACGGATTCATTCTGGTCAGTGCTGTGATAGTGGGTGAGGGTAGTGATCAGCCCGTTGTCCCATCGGTCATACAGAGAATCCGTTGGCGCAGTGCTGCCGAAAGTCAATGTGCAGCCCATGCAGAACCAGGCTGAAGTGATCAGCACGATCAAATGTCTGTTAGTGTCACAACTTACCATGATGCGGGTAATCCCCGGGTCAGGTTAGCGGGCGCGAATACGTCCACAGCAGCTTCAATATCGTGGTTGATGCTTATGTAATCGAATTGAGTTGTGTGACCTGTGATGTGATGTGTGGCTTCAACGGTTGAAGGCGTCCATATACCATTAATCTGACGCAGCCCATCGATTGTTATGGTCTTAAGCGATTTGTTTTTTGGATCCACGAAATCGATTTGTTCTGGGAACCATGTTCTGGCGCTGATGCGCGCTGTGAAACCTCCATAACCCAGTTGTTTGGCAGTAGATTTGTCTACAGGTTTACCCTGGATGACATAGATAGTGTCATCTGCGGCCTGCTCGGAGCCCAGCAGGGTGAAGCTGTAATCGTCCAGGTTGAATTTAAAATCAGATTGCATGTCTTCGAAAGTGAAGTCTGTGCCAAGAAAATAGTCCCCCCGGTCGGATGCGGGAATACGCCGGGTTTTCCCCGCCGCAGGAATATACAGCCAACGCTCGTCATTTTTATTCAGTGTCTGGTGATCACGGCTCAAGAAGGTGAGCTCTCGCACCCGCTTCGGCTCCAGATAAGTAATCCGTGTCAACTTGGCGTCTTCGTCTGAGGCGCGAAACACAACGGCCTGCCGCTGACGTACTCGTCCACGCTTGTCGGTGAGGGTCATCTGTATCGTGCGCGTGGTTTGTTGTGCTTCTGCGCGGTTTGCTACTGCCGCTGCAACTTCCTGGGCTGTGAACGCCTCGCTGGTCGGGCTATAGATTAAGATGGCGATGCCTACAAATGCGAGACTGCCCGTGGTTTTAACAATGGGCGCAATACTGATCTGTTGCAGGCGTTCCCGGAGAACATAACAAGCAGGCACAATTATAAGGGCAGACAGGAAGCTCGCCAACGCAGCTACCGTAACAAGGCCGCCAAAGCGCTGCAGAGTCGGGAGATCTGAGATCATCAGGACAGAAAAACCTACACCCAGCGCGGCGGCGTTAAAAAAGCAGGCGCGTGCGGTACTGGGGACCACCCTGCCAATAATATCGTTCATATTCACGATTTCGCCTTTGTTATCAGCGGTGCGAATCTCATATTGCAGGCGGTCCACCAGGTGAATGGCAAAGTCGACACCTACACCTACTGATATCGCTGCAAACATGCTGGTTGCGGGTTCAAGGTAGATATCCAGGGTACCCATCACGCCATAAATGCACAGCACGGTAAATGTCACTGGAATAACGGCGATGAATCCGACACCGATAGAGCGGAATACGCAGATGGACATAATCAATACCAGCAGAAGAGACAGGGCAACGCCGGTAAAATGACTTTCCTGCAGACGTGTCATCCAATGGAAGGCTACATTTACGTCTCCGGCAATTGTGGCTTCCATTCCAGGCTCAATAAAACTGTTGGATAGATAGTCCTGCAGTTCCAGGACCACTTCGCGGCTGTCGGAAAAGTAGTGGGAGTTCAACACGGTGCGCACTAGAGCGGCGTCGTAGTCTGGCGTAATTTCTTCTTCCAGGTCACTTGGGTCGCCAGATGCTTCATACACCATGAGGTACTGGGCGATGGCGTCGTCGGTGTCAGGCAGGTTTCGGCTCTCGCTCACCTCCTGGTTGTTGATGGCGCTGTGCAGCAGAGTAAGGTAGTCGGCAATACTTACGGTTTTGCTCACATGCTCGTGATCTTCAAGCCATGCCTGGAGGTCAGCAATTTTTTGCATCCGCCGAGCATTCAGCAGACCGTCCGGCTCCTCTGTTGCAATAATGACATCAAGAAAAGCGGTGCCTGCAAATGTATTGTGAATGCGCTCGTCTGCGATGCGAATGGGTTCGTCCGGAGCAAAGTTGTTCACTTGAGATCGGTCAACGCGAAGTTCCAGAGCGCCAGTCACAGCGATCACGATGATCAAAGCAAATGCGCCGACAACTGCGAAGGGATAACGTGCACCCAACAGGCTGACGTTGCCCAGCCATACGCCGATAAAATCCGGACCTTTCATACCAAAATCTGAAAACAGCGGGCTGGGTTTAGGCTGCAGCAACGTTAATACGGCGGGAAGGACAAAAATTGAAAATACCCAGGCCAGCGCTACGCCGAGCATGGCGTACCAGGCAAAATAGGCGATGGGTGGCATGATTGAAATGACCGCGATACCGGTAAAACCAGCGATTGTGGTCAACGTTGTCAGTGTGATGGGGCGTGCCATGGCTAACATGGCATCAATGACAATCAGGCGCGGGTCTGTATCCGGTAAGCGGGCTCTACGTTCAAAGTACGCTGACAGAATATGAATCGCGTCAGCAACAGAAATGGCAACCAGAATAACGGGCAGTGCATTGGTGATAGCAAAGTAGGGGATACCCTGCCACGCCATGATGCCGAGGCTTCCACCAGCAGCACCCAGTAGTACGATGATGGGACCCAACAGCGCTGACGCGCGCATGAATGCAAAATACAGAAAGATAATCACAATCAGGAAGACAACAGGCTGCAAAACACGGGCATCCGCGTCTATATAATCAGACAGATAGCCGCTCACGGCCGCGGGCCCGGCGATATAAAAATCGAGTTCCGGGTGCCCCAGGGTTTCGATGAACTGCTGCACCTCGAGATAGGTGGTTGATGCCTGGCGAGGGTCTATAACCTCCGCCATGATGACGGCGGCCTGCTCATCTGCTGAGACTAAGGTATCGATGTGGGGTGGCATATTGCGCCATCGGCGGGCTGTTTCGCTGATACTGTAGGTATCATCAATGTCTGGATCAAAATAGGGGTCAACGAGAATGCTGCCAGCAGCACCGGTTATGGATGACTCCGACGAAATGCTGGCGATTCGTTCGGGATCGATATTGTCGATCTCACCCAGGGCTGCGGTAATCTGGGCGACAACTGCGAGGGTTTCAGCACTCAATACGCTGTCACCGTTCTTAGTGAAGACCGCCACCGCAATAGGTTCAGTTAAACCAAAAAGTGTTTTGGTCATCTCATTGGCCAGCAGCGATTCGTGCCCTGCGGGAACAAACGCATCGATGGAGGTATCCTTAACCAGACGCGTCAGCCCGCTACCGGCGAGGACGATAAAAAATAAACCCAGCGAGACGGTTAACCAGGGTTTTTTCGTAAGCTGATCGTAGAAATTATAAACGGCGGTGGTCTGGTTCACGGTGTTGCCTCAATGAAGTCGGTTGTTTCCAGCGCGTGGCTAGAGCCTGCTTGTTTGAAAATTGATTCGTCGATGTCCTGCCATTGGCGGATATAGTCGGGCGGCGGTAAGGTCGCTGCGCCCGGACTGACCTGATCGACAACTTTCTGCGTGTTTACCCATTTTGAGCGACTTCGCAGCGCTGCACGACTGACGCCGACAGCGACCTTTTTGCCGTTCAGGTCTACAAAGGTGTGCTCAAAGTAAAACCAGCGTGTGTCCCAATACACCAGTTGTGTGTGCACGTTATAACTCTGCATCAGCTTCAGGGTGCGTCGATAACGGGTCAGCCCACCGCCGAGCACAGC